ACGGCTAGTGGTACTCTTAAGGCACAGAGGCACATTCTCAATGTCAAAATATGCATAGAAAATCTTAGTCATTAATTGTTCATCATATTTCATAGAAGTATAATAGTTGAAGCACAGGAAACATTTCTCAAAACTGATGTAGAAGTGTCAGCTGCACTAGACAGGACGTTATATTAAGAAACCTGGGAAATTCTTTTTTGTGGAGTTCTTTTACTGGTAAACCAGAATTGCTGGAATGCCCTAGAGAAATCCATATATGGAATGGAATTAAAGCAATTTGCTGGAAATAAGAGTGCTAGGTTTCAATAGCTTTAAACTATTTTTTACCTAACATATGCCTTATTAGCATATCATAAAGTAGCAATTACAGACATAACAAGAGAGAATTACCCCCTTATTTGCATATTGCTTACTAATTGTATTATATTTATTACATACAGTCGTCAAGGTTTTTCTTTACAATAAAATATCCATTTATAAAATTCATAAAAACAGGGCTGTTAAGACTTCTTAACCTTGTCGTTCTATATACTGTATGCCAAAATTAAAATATTTAAACATCACCAACGCTGCATAATGCCAAATTTTGATAAATGTGCCTTTTTTTCTAGTCAAGATATGATTTAGGTCAGAAACACGTACATTCAAATGCAGTATGACCCCATTAAATGACATATACAAGGAAACGAACATGATTTTGAAGGCCAGATTTCTTCAACAAAAAGAGGGACCTTTTCTTAACATCGAGTCGTACATCATCTGTAGATAGAAAGTAGTCGGACAGCCACAGGTTTCTACTGCAGATTTAAATCCAAGGGTCATTCATCAAGAAACCAAAGAAACTGAGGAACCGTTTCATTTATGCACTTTTATAATCGCACCTTTTTGCACTTTTAGTAAATTGTTAGTATACACTTTCAGCAAGGTCATCTTACAAGAAAAATACATTTTTCACACTAAACACTCCCTGGAGTTGGAATTCTCCTGAAGGGAAGGTACATTATTGTCTCTTTGTCTGTAATTGGATTTATTAATATATAGTATGGACAGGTGGGGCTATGCTATGACAAGTAGAAAAAAATAGCTAGTTTATTAAAATTCTCATATTTATTTTGAATTGATTATTATGTGTTATTTTATTAAGCTTTCTTTACGTAACATTCTGGAAATTCCGGGGGAAAAGTTTCATTTTATAAAGAAAAATATTTACTGGATAAACACAGGCCTACATGTAACGAAAGTTGTTGGATTTTCCTCCTTTTTAAAGAAGTACATGTACATCAAAATTTCTTTCAATAATTTAACCCGTAGTTCGTCATATTTTTTTTTTCTATTTTATGTAGGGTATATAGTAAGATGTGGATCAAAGTCCTTTTTAAGCCTTCGCTATGCAAGGAAAAATAAATTTGATCTTAATTCGTTTTCCGTTTCCGATTGTTTCATTGGATGATCTTAAGAGTCGTAAATATCGATTTTCAATCAAACCATTTTCAACTGATTTACAAACAGGAAAACACAATTGAAAAGTAACAGCACAGGGAGTTGTTTTATGGGAGTTTTCCTTGTGAGTTATGGATCAAAATCAAGATCTGCGACACCAAATGACGGGCATAGTATGTATCTGATAAACGAATATATATCTGATTGGATAGACAATTTTTCTAATCTTATCAATACTGTACCACGGGCGATTTTTCCTCCCTAACTTCTTGATACTTATGTCTTAACTCTTTGGTATCACTTGGTAACACTGAACCATTTCCGGGTAATTTATCTCTGGTAACTAATCCTGAAATCTATAAGACGTGCTAAGAATAAACTTTAAAGGACAGGACCTAACGTTTATTAACTTTTTGCGTTTTCGTTTTTAAACGTTAAATATACTGTCATCCGCGGAATTTGCCCGCCAATAGAACAAATTTCTCTTCCGTTATATCACTACCACATGTAAGATTTTGAACGTACCTAATAAGCCGGTTTCTTCTTTTCGAGATTCTGATATTGAAAACGTTGCATTAAACCCTTCTTTGCAAGATTAGAAATTCCGTGAATTCACTGACTTAAGATATATAGGAGATTTCCTATGACTGCCTTATCTTATTAAATTGCATAACTATTCACTCATTTGATCCTCACAGTGATTTGCGTATTAACGATACATGTATATTATGGTTTCTTACAAAATATTACTATAAGAATAGAATATCCTGTACAATGTAAAATGAAAGAAATTTTATTATTCAGTCCATATTTTTCTTAGTGTTACTCGTTAGCTTTTGAGAAGTTTGATCAGAACCTCTAACTTTAAAATTTGAAGCCCTTTACCGGTATATGGTGACATCTCTATATGAGTGAAAAAAAAAACAGCATACAGTCAATCAATCAAAATTATTTATTACAATTTTTATGACACATCCATGTATTTGAATAAAACAATGCAAATTATACAACATTCAATTTTAAAACTGCTCAAAAAAATTGTAAAGAAACAAGATTTATGGGGGACTATTTTTTGTGGTGGAAGGATGTTTAGAATAAAATTCTTCAAATTTACACATTTCTTTGATTTAATATTTTAGAACTTCAGCCCTATATATTTACTCAGATTTTTTTTTACATATTAGAATTAAATAAAGGTTTCAATAAATATTTTTAAAACACATTTTACACATTCACTCAACAGACTTCATCAAAAAACGAAGATATATATATAAGAAGTCAAGATAGAATTTACATTGTTTTTCACCTGAAAATTGCATATTTTAACCAATATCTCAAAATTAACATCACTGACCCCAACTTTATCTTTCATTATTTTAAACTACACGATACATTCCTCCGAACAGCACTTAAGTCATAAAAAGCTTGATACAAGAAAATATTTTATTGCCTATCTAGATTTTTAATACCCCAAATACGATATTTTTTTTAGTGCAGAAAGGTCACACAATACTTTGCAGGATTTTTTTCAACAGTAAATATCATTCAAACTATTTTACATAAAATTAGATTATATTTATTGCCATGATTACGTTTGGTAAAATATGATGAAGGTTAAGGATATTATCCTAAAAGTTACAATTTAAGCGCAAAAAGGTAAAGTTAATTTTACCGTTGCTCAGTAAGATGCATACTACATCCAAATTTCTTTGCGATTTTGAGTCATGCTATATGACTTATTACCTAAAATATATTTCTCAAAAAATCCTTGATATAACTCATATCACGAGTGACATACCTTAAAGTTCTAAACATATTTCAGAATAGACTGATTGAAACATAATTTAAAAAATCAATTACCTTTACATTGAAGTTCGGATGAGACCGTATAAACCGAGGTCCCGTGTCGCAGTGGGTGCTGGCACGAAAAAGATCCCTCACTGCTCAAAGGCCATAAATGCGGAGTACAGGTCTAAATTTGCAGCCCTCCACCGGCAAGGAGTGGTATCTCAATTTGAGTGAAAAATTCTCGAAGGGACGTTAAACAAAAAAAATCATTATTCATAAATATTGTGTCACATAAAAAAATCAGCCGAGTTTGATATTGTGTACTGTGCTGCAATGTCTATGTTTAATATCATTTTTTGTAAACATCTCTTGGGTCCCGGAAAAATTTCAGAATTAGGTAGATATTCCATGTAATGTAAAATAGTCCAAAGTATTGCGCTATACTGACATAGACTTGGAAGGAAAGAGTGCTACTTTATTGGTCAAAAAGACGTGGAGAGGGTCAGAAATCAGGAAAACTAACTACATATTTTTGGTATAAGGAAAATTTTACCATAGAAATGTACATGCATGTTTACAAAATCTCTAGAATTATGAAAAACTCCATAATTATAGATTCCGAATAAGTGTACATGACCTTAGAGTTGAAAGAGGAAGAAAGGGATTTGTAAAATAATACTGGTCAGAAAATTCTCCAAGAAACAAACGAATGTGTGAATTACGCAATTATGTTTTGACAAAGAATATTATTACATTTTCTTACTGATTGTCCTGATATGTGGGAGAAATACGTTTTTTCATAAATATCTCCAAGCTCAAAAAGAACTCTATCTATTTAACAAATAAGGATAGCTTTATTTGGTTGATGATAAAAAATAAGACAAATCAATAATTATCAAAATGATTGAATATCTAGTTAAAACTTTCAGAAAAAGATGTGCTTTTATAAAATAGCAAAAACGCATCTAGTTTATTATATATATGTTGGTATATTATTGATATTGTCCATGTACTATTTACAAATCATATGCACTTGTTTCCCCATATGCTGCATCTTCTACATGTAGTTTGTATTTTTTTTTTTTACTTTCTTTCTTTATAAATTGTCTTAACTCATATGTCCTCTGGGACCAACATTGGAATAAACTTATTCCATTTCAATATTTTGTTAAAGTTTTCGTAATCTAAATTGCCTTTACTTGCTGTGTGTGTCTCGATTAGTTTATAACGCTTACTGGAGATAGTTTTCGTTGTTAATTAGCAAAGATACCTCTTTTCCATGGGATTTAGCAATTGATATGTCGACGAAATCTGTAGTGTCGCTAACAAATCCTCCTAAAGTAGGGATATTGAAAGATGTCCCAACGACTCGACCTCTGATCAAAGCCAACCTTTCCGTGCTTCCTTCTCAAGTGTCCGTATAATGACTTTCTTTTACTATTTTTACTCGGCATAAATAATAATTAATCGACTAATACTACAAGTAGCCATTCAATCTCTTTCATTTTTCCTTAGTTCATGTCAAGTTGTTTGGATCTTTTAAGTTTATAAATAGCTTAATATCAGTTATCTTCCCTTGGAATACGTCATCTCTCTTTCTGCATATAATCGTCTTATTTATTTTAAATTTCTCGTCAATAAAGCAACTTTTCAATATATACTGACTTCAGCATTTTTATATATAAACTGACAAAACTTAATGATAATCTCGTTTCAATAATGATTTTATTAATTCTAATTTCAAAGTTGACTTGAAAACCTGTCTTGATTACAGATTAGAATAGATTCAGGGACATTTGATTTACGAACACATTTTCCCAAATAAGTTAACAGTACAATTGAATGATTACAGCACATTAATTTATTACTTTCAAATATAAATTCATTGTCATATTTCATTACATTTCTACATAGAGAAATGTGTTTTAAAATTATTAATACCTTTTAATGCTAGCTAATCTCTTCCTTGCAAATTATAATTTGCATGTAACACACTTATTGTTAACTTTACAAAAACATAAAGCAAAGAAACAAAAGATAATGCTTTGTTATTCTTCCTCCTAGAATAGCCCCGTAGTAACTAATTAATATTCTTCCATCAACAGGACTGATAAACGAATTTCCTAATCGTTCTATGATATCAGCTTGATCACTAAGATATCAGAATAAACATCAGATGTTTAAGCCAGTAAAACTCAATAATTGGATCATCTGCCATAATGCCCAATCAAGGTCTTACGTGGCAAAAAACATCGGAGATAACATTCCAAAAGTTACGTTAAAGAATGCAATCTCGCTGTACTTTCTATTAAAATTGGTTAGTGGCAATCTATCAATGTTGTTGCACATTCCCTTGGTTCCCTTCCGTTTTACTGTACATGTTCCAGCTACAAGACAGTTGATATTGAAGTGGCATTATTCTCCGTTATCTGCATCACTCCTTTCTTTTCTTTGTCAATTCCTATTTCATAAAAAGAAATAATGAAAAGTATTCCTTAAAAAGGAAGAATACGAAAATCCTGAAATAAATATTGTAAAGAGTGGCTTTTGTGAACTAATTCCTTAGTAAAGGTCCATAGTCTACTTATCAAACCGAATCATGATGTCTCGCACCGTGTTTCAAAAAAAAAGGTCTAGATGATAAACCCAATAGAGAAAAAAAATCAAAAGTAAACATTACGCCGCAAATCTTAATCTCCGCAAATACATAGTTAAAATCTCAGATTTCTGTCCAATTTGATAAATGAAAAGATTTTCTAAAAAGTTAAACGTTGAGTAATGTTAGTTAATAATTACATAAGCCACTGATGAGCTTTGTACATATTGAGAATTATTTACAATTGGAAAACTCCCGCAGCAATTTGTTACAAATGAAAATCAAAGGAATTTGAGAAATTTTGATAATGACACCTATATCTTTGTGGTGATTCTATTTCCACAAGAAACTTGAGAAGATGACGAACAGAAATCGTTGAAACCCCCTAATTACTAATGATTTCTTATTTCAAAAGCCATTATCTCACAAAATAAAAATATCTTAAAAGATAGACGCCAGCCAACTGTCAATCAAGGTCAAGTGAATAGAAGAAATCGAAAATGATTTCAGTCTTACATTTTAATTTTGATTGACAAAATCAGAATTCCATCAGCGATACAAATCGTCAAGAAACCAAAGTCAATATCCTTTCATAAAAGCCGCGCCATGAAATCGCCAAACCCCTTAGACGAGTAAGGGTTATTAACAATACAGTAATAAGCGACTGTAGATGAAAACGGGGGATAATCATGCCGTGTATGTATTTTTTTGAATCCAAATTAAACTTTGGGCTTTTAATCTCACATCAAAGTAAGCTCAACCTCTAATTTGGAAAGAAAAATGAAAAAGCAACTTCGTCGCATGACAAAAAGCCCTGATAGCTTTTTTGAGAGGTGTATGCTATGCGAATTCTGATTGTGAGAAAGCAAGCAACTTTCAACACCGCAAATCAGTCAATTTTTTTTTTAATTTGACAAGTTATAAAATGTTTAAATAATTATTCTGTTACTCTCTACATTAACATTTTATGTGATCCAATCGGTGAACAATCTTCATTTTTATTTTTAAACAGTTCATAGATGCAAAAAAAATGCTCATTTGACATTGAAAACCAGATTTATTTTTGAAATGCTTATTTGTTTTTTACACATGAAGTTTGTTGAAATTTATATTTACAGAAAAGAGTTCGAGATTGTGATAAACGGTCACGAGACTTCTAGATATTACCCATTCAAAATACACAGAGATGTATTATTTCATGGTTATAATCGCCAGTCGTTAACAAAGAAGAAATGCTATAAAAGTCTGCCTTATTGACACCACTTTCTTCATTATACAACTTTTTATACAAAATTTATATTATTTTCACAACCTTTAATTATACATTAACAAAACAATAATGTAAATATACCTCGGAAAAAAAGTTAAAATTTTATTAGCTGAAAATTGAAAGTAGACTTTTATAGCTAGGTGAAACAATAAGGAAGAAAAGTACATCGACTCATGTATGTCACAGAATTTGGAAACATTTCAGCAAGTGACTGTCTATTAAGAGATAAATTGTACATGTTAAGAATATGCAATCCAGCTTTTTTACAAAATGTGTTACGGTTTCATTCGTAACAATTTTAATCAAAACAAATTTGCGCAATGAAGAATCACTATAAAATTTAAGCACACGAAAATCAGTCTGAGAGTAAATTCTTCATTGACTGTTGGTACTTTATCCGTCTCAAATGACATTTATCTGAAGAAATATAGCTATTTGCTTTTTTTAATAGTTTTTAAATCTTGTAAATGAATAGTATGCTGAACTTATTTTCTAATTTCATAACAATATACATGTAGAATATTTAGCTCTTTTGCGAAAATAAACAGCACCATCAATGTTCATCAAAGTCTTACAGATTTTGGTTTTATTAACAAACCATTTACACTGGGTACAATCAAATCAGACGAAATATGTAGGAACTGTAGAAGTCTCATTTCATTAACAGACAAAGTATATTTTCGTAAAGAAGAAAAAGCCGTCAAAAAAAAGAAATGATACACAAAAATTGCGTGTTACGATGCAGCCTGAATTCATCCATACAATCCATACAATTAAGACAGAACTGATCACAGAGTAACATCGAGAAAAAAGGATAGAAAGTGAGAAACACGCACAAATATAAACACAAACACACACCCAGGAAAGTAACATAAAATAACATTGAATACAAACGTGCACCTGATTTATATTATTTCCTTAATAAGTTCAAAATGTTATAGTGGTTTTCCATAATTGGAAAATGCAATACATGGTATATGTTTTCTGTGTCCGATATAGTTGAAGCATTCAAATCGACGTTATACAATTTGAGAGACAATCTGCAAATTTAATTTCTTTTCATTCTAAAACATATTTATCAAATAAAAACAGCTCCATGACATATTATTGTAAGGTATTACACGTGGTCTAAACAGTATCTCTTTGCAGAATTGCCTCTAAATGTTAAATTTGGTGGAGGGAGATCACTTTATGGAATGACTTTTTACTGTCACTCCTTGTATAACTGCTCCATATTACCCTTAATTGTGCACAATAAGTCAATAACATAAGCAAATACATGTAGCATAGTAAAATAGAAGAACTATCACTATATACACCCTGCCCGTCAGCGAAATAGATAATATCCAGATAGACAGCGAAGAACAGTTATTATTTAATGCTAGATCACCGAAAGCCTTGGATCTAGTAAATCCCAATAAGTATATTCAAGATTAAATATAAGAAATATAATTAATGATAAAAATACGCCAAACGTAGAGATAAACTGCATATTCTTTGTTACAGAACGCATGCATACGTATTCTTCGAGGTATCTAATCTCTTGCCATTTTTCTTTCATACGATTTTTAAAAAAAAAAAATTTTAAAGATATTTTTAAGTTTTATAACTTGGTAACAAAAATATCATGCACAAAAAATATTCGTCAACAGCGTGAACATTTAGAAAAATCATTTCAGGGAGGTATTTTCTATTTTTAAAGAGGGGAGGGGCATGAACAGGTAAGGTCTTCCAGGTTTCCTGTAAAGTCTTCTAGGTATCCAACCATTTAAAACCATAAAGCCCACTACACCTGTAGAACGTGTTTCCTTCTTGTATGTAAATGAAAGAAAAAAATCATCCATGAGCTCGTCAAACTTGATTCTTACAACCAATAACGCCCACATCAAGGTTCTTAATGGAGCACCTTGTTAAAAATCTCAATTTGACAAAAAAAAACATTAAAATATAATCCATCAATCTCCAAAACACAACTGTGAAGAACTCTTGATGTAGTTTGCATTTTTCTCCACAAACATTACATACAGATGTTCATTGATCAGCTATAAAAACTAGATTTGTAATAAAGCTCCTCGAATAAATTTTGATTTTCGTGGTTTGTTAAAGTGGGTGCGTGATTTAATTGATTCCAAATTGGGAAAATGTTAATTAAATGCGCAAACAATAGAAGTATTGGGACTTTTGTGAATACTCCCCTTGCAGGATTCCCAAGATAATAAAATATCTGTGATCCCTCCTATATCAAGACATTATTTTAAAAGATTTCTGTTCTTTTAAATGGGATGCAAGTCATGATGATTGGATTTTTGCTTGAATTATACATAGTATTTTCGTGTTTTAAACGTCCCCGTGTTTTAACATTAATGCAATTTATTTTTTCCATGATTTAGAGAGCATGCTTATGTTCTGTTCTATTTCAAAGTAAAAAAAAAAATTAAAGTATAAAACTGCTTAAAACCTCTAATTTTCCACATTGAGTTTCAATTTTTCTGTGTTAAATTTACTCTAAATGCAGATATAATGTAGATTATTACTGATGAACATATGAATGACAAAATAAAATATGCGCTTCTTCATTTATATACAGTAGAAAATAAACTAAAAATGCGTTCTGTAGATCTGTTTTGTTTCGATATGCCCTTTTTAACTTATATTGTGTATATATTTGCCTTGTGATAATCTTTAATATGACTTCTATCAGAAGTGTTCATGGTTCGTTTTCCAAATGTACTATAGGATTGATTCAACTTTACTTAAGAAAAATTGTCCTTGAGATTTTCCAGTTTCACATTGTTGGCTTTAATGTAAATATACGTAATATTGCAATATTTCATAATAAAAATACTTAAACTTAACATTTTGATTCAAATTATATGAAAATGCTTTTATCGAAATTAGCGAATTATTTATTTTAACATTTATTTGCAAACGTTTTAACGCGTAATGTGTCACGTCAAAACTCCGAGGAATATGCTAAAATGTCTTCTCCTTGCTGCATTCACAAAGCAAGTCAATGCGAACCTTTTTTTATTTGCGACCAAGGTTAGTTATTTTTATCTACTAAAAAACTTGTGTATTCTTACTTAGTGCCAAGAACGGGCTGGGATAAGCTGGGCCTGCATCATGCTTGAGAGCCATCCATCATAAAAGACCGTGTGACAGGACTCTGACAACTTACAGACATCAGTCAATGATTCATACGTCAGACAGAATTTCTTAAAATTTATCAGTTGTATAATTTATTACTTTATAAAAGAATTTCTGTTACTGTGCAAAGAGAGATAACCTTTTTTTAAGCAAACCGTCTACAAGTAATTTATGGACTCCCTCCAAATTACTAAATCTTTAGGAGTAAACTGGATGTTTTTGTTTGGTTGGGAAACAGTAAATACCTAAATATTTTGTAATTTGTACCTGTGGGGCCCTACTCTAAAGATAGCACCTGGACTTGACAATTGTGTTTACTCTTCCAAAAATTACTGAAATTTTAACGTCCTCAAAAAACAAAGACTGTTTCAAAGACCATGTATGCAAATATATTAAATTAATGGAGAATTAACCTGGCTAGTATTCGCAAATAGCTATTTTAAATGCATCTGACATGTTCTTAATTTTGATTTACTGAATGGGTGTAGCCCAACAAATTCAACATTTTGAACATGGTGCTATTTTCCATCAATTTACTTTTTATTAAATGATTAAAACTATTAATCTAAATTATAGAAATTGTAAGGAAGTGACTTGTAATTCATTGATTTCAAATAAATAAAATGATATTTTATGAGCGATATACACAATTCATATACCAATATCATGAATCAAAATATAATACTAATCATCCCTTTAAATGACTTCACATCTTTGATTATTTAATAGTAATACAAAATTTAGATTTGCAATTACAATTTATAAGTTCATCTTAAAAATATTAATAATAATATTATATAAAACAATTATCAATAAAAGGAATTCTACTTCACTCTAAACCACACAGCATGTGATATGAATTAATGTAATAAAACATTATTTTCTGACCTTGTATATTTCCAAATTTGTATCTAATTGTCAGAGAAGTTCCTGAATGCCACCATGACTGTTTTATACTGAGATTTATACCTATAAAATCTCATTTATCACTCTTATTAGAAAGGGAATTCGTAAAAACCTAATGACAACATTTTTACACTCTATAGATTAATTTTTTTTTTTGAAAAATACACAGTTAATCTAAACGATAGTTGTTATAGACTTATCCCTGATTTCCAGTATGTTTGACAAACTTAAGACCTATTTACATTAACAGTACTACAGATTTTAACATACTGTCTTAGGTTAATCACCTCAGTAATATTTAAAAAAAAAAAAGGGGGGGACATACTGTAAACATACTTATTTTATTGGTAATCATATTTTAGTGGTAATCTTATTTTAGCGGTGATCATATTTTAGCGGTAATCTTATTTTAGTGGTAATCAAATTCTAGTGGTAATCATATTTTAGCGGTAATCTTATCTTAGTGGTAATCATATTTTAGTGGTAATCATATTTTAGCACCTTTTGCGCTTCTTCTTGTCCTCTAAGTCAACTACACGCTAACGTATGATTTAAACAAATACATATAGAAGCTTAGCTCCGAGTGCACTAATTCATGGTTATGCTATTAATTCAGTTGATCACTTGCGCTAAATTTTGAGTGCACTAATTTATATACGTTTACAGTATTCTCTGTCAGGAGCATAATGTCTTTAAAACCTGTTTTTAGAAAAGGTGACTTTAACATCTTTATTCAAATGTAAGTTCAATTGAAAGTCAATGTATCTTCACTAATGGATTTGAAGCAAAGTGGGATACTCTTAGTAAGGAGTAAAATGTCTGTAAAACTGTACTACCTTTAACTTTTTTTATGCAAATACTTACAATAGCTAACATACGCGGATTTTTTTTTTTTTTTTTTTTTTTTTTTTTTTTTTTTTGTTTTTTGTTTTGTTTTGTTTTGTTTTGTTTTTTTTTTTGTTTTGTTTTGTTTTGAAAAAATTCTGGGTTGGAAATTTTTTGACTTGGGTGGAAACCCCCCCCCCCCCCCCCCGAAAAAAAATCCTGGATCCGCACACATGTTCTCATAGTCAGGAGAAAAAAGTCTGTAAAACCTTTCATAAAAAATCTTATAAGTTTTTTTGCCTTCTGTATACAAAAGTTAAGTTTGCATAATATTAATATCCTTTAACATAGAATGTGAAAAGATAGATAACTCTGATTTTAAAAAGAGTTTATATTATCTGCTTACTCGCAATTCTTTTACATTTCTATAGCAAAGAAAATTTTAATGAATAATAACCACACTAAAACAATAAAGCCCCACCTCTATTATCTCTGAAGGAAATTCTTTCATGTTTCTTTTTACACAAGTTAGACAAAAGCACTTTGTGTAAAATAAACTGCAACCCTGAAAAACAAAACAAAGAACACGTACATTGCATTTTACTCATGGAAATTTTTGACAACTTGCGAGATTTTAGTTGTTCAAATGCAATATTAACTACTCTGTGAAATGAATGAACATGCATTATTGCAAAATATCAATCTGTAATGTAATCTTTAATGCAACTTGCAGACAAATGTCAATTTGGGTATCATGTATTGCAATTTGGATAACATGTATTTCATGCAACAAGCACTTCATAGTGATATCAAAATATCAACACTTTCTGTTACCACTTTATATAAACTTACATTCATTTCTCAACAAATCATTGCTAGTTTATGGCTAACATAAGTGTATGAGTGCTTTAGGCTGCAACTGAGTTACAAAAATAACAACTATTACATCAAAATATGTTATAACCTTTTTACCAGAAATGCAAATCATTGGGTTTTATTTTTTCTTTCCTTTTTTTTTTGGTTATGAATTTGAAGTTCTTTGCTCTGCTACAATTTTTCCCATGAAATAACTACAATCCAAACAGAAGTTCATCAGAAAGTTGTAACAAAAGAATACATTTATTCACATTTGCAGTAATGTACACTTAAAAATTTTGCATATTAGTAATTTTAAAAAATTCTATTAAATAAAACCATGTTGACAAAAGATGTCTCTATTAAATATCAGCACTTTATACAGCATTATGAGTTTACTGTGGAATCATTGTTTGTGGGGAGGACCAATGTTAGTGAATTTTATAGGTCATTCTTAATCATGAATTTACCTCCCAATGAAGAATAACTGTCATTATTATATGATTGAATAATTCCCACCTTTCTGATTGGCTGAGATCCAACAATGTTAGAAAAATACTACATTATATTGACCTGCACGTGACCTTCCAGGTCAATATAAGGAATTATTTATTCTACATTGGACCAAAAATAGATAATCATATAATAAAACAGTTATTGCTGTTTTTTGAGGTCAATACGATGATTTAGACACCTGAGGAGTACAATATTCACCGAGCCCTTCGGGCTCGGTGAATATTGTACTCCTCAGGTGTCTAAATCATCGTATTGACCTCAAAAAACAGCAATAATTGTATAATATATTGCTTCATTGAATCTTCAGTAAGTATATGTTATCCCTTCGAACCACTAAAATGTTCATTGCCATGATTATTGATCCCCCACAATGATTCCAAACTCTCAATTCATATGTAGAACATTTCCATCATGTCAACATCTATATAAAGATGCACTTTGTTTTACTGGGATACCATACTGACAAATAAACAATATTACAAGGCATATATGAGTAAATTGTATCAGTACCTGTAACACATAATAAAACATTTTAACTAAAACTATTTTTGTGATGTTTATTTTGCAAAACATTCACATAAGCTGAAAATCATTATGTAATCCTAATATTAAACACAACCACAATAAGTTATAAAAATAAAATATGCCAAAGCAAGTTAAATTCTGAAATCATCAGAAAAAACAACATGAACAATGGCAGCTTATAATCATGATAAGAAATGTCCTTATAGGTGACAGGTTGCTTGCAAAAATGCTTACAGTATAATAATTATTTGAAAATGCTTTAAATTTATGCTTCCAGAACAAAACTAAAAAAACTGAATGACAGCTGGGAGAAGAAGAGACATAACAAAATTTACAGTTTAAGTCTTCAGACTCTGAAATGTTTCATTGCAATTGAGAGAGAGTTCTCTAATACAGGTACTTATGTCAATATAATATAAGCTCACTTTTAAATCCTCACCTTCTCATTCCATCTCAAACATGTTTTTTTTTCAATTTAAAGAAATATAATTAATAATAATTAATATAATACCTACATGTTGATATAATTTAGCTTGCATCCCAACACTACTAAGTTGCATGTCAACATAGATACATGTAAGTAAAATTAAAAAGTCAGCATCAGGGATGAGGTAATCGTAATCGAGTAATCGTAATCAATTGTAATGATTACTTTTTTTCAAGTAATCGACAGTAATCTGTAATCGAAGAGATTTTCAATTACTTGTAATCGTAATTTAATCGATTACAGCTAAAATTTTCAATGTAATTATAATTACTTTTTCGATTACTTTCGATTATTTTATACATAAATGGATGTTATTTTGGAGAATTATTTCCAGTCAGTCACACATAAATATCAAATATAAACCACCTAGTGTAATGTTTGGATTTCCTAACTTTTATTATCATAAGTTTAATAATGTTCTCAATAAAATTTGCATTATAGACCTTCTGGTCTAGTATTAAATAATTCAGGAGTGTATTTCAATCATTTATTAATGAAATATACAGATTTTTGTGTGCATTTTACATTTGACCCACTGTCCTCTTGCTGCATGTCCTTTTTCATGTTTCAGATGTTGAAAAACTTGTCTTGTAATAGAGAATTGTAAATAACAAAAACAGATTTAAGTGCTATATTATATGTAAATAATTTGGTAAATAAACTACATTGTACTCGAAAAAAAAAGAAGAAGATGGAAATACTTATTCATATCTGAAAATGTTTAAACAAATTCAAACTTGTGTTTTAGTAACTTTAAAATTTGAAAAATCATTCTCATGTTTTCATTCAAAATTGTAAGGTTGTTTTTATATCAGTGAGAGGTTATATATGTGTTTGTAAGAAAGGGAGTAAGTGTCACTGTGTTTGCTTATCTTGACTAATTAATTGACTGAGACATCCCTGATTTGCAGATAATGAGGTGTAAACTGTGAACTTCTTAGTGTTTAACTTTCATTCCATGGAAGACAAACAATATTATTAAAACAATTAATAGCTCTCAAAACACTTTACAGAATGAAACTGTGCTATTAGTTTGATTACTTAAAGACCCATTTAATTTATATGTTTATTACTAAGAGTTCTAATTTACTTGTTGTTTTTTTTTAAAAGACACGTACAGGAATGTTTAATGTGTACTGTCAACATACAGGCAGCCCAAATACTTCTAATGAAGTAATTCACAATAGAATATTAGATAATTTTTGCAACAAGTCAGTAAATATGGAGGTTCAGATCCAAGGTTGGAAGGAATAATTAATTCCTTGGCATATTTTATTGTAGGAATCATGTCTCCACTTTCCATGGTAGAGAATCCCTCATTCGGGCATTTCAATTCAATTCGATTTATTGACAATTACCATGTCGGCATACAGTCATGAACAATAATAACATAAAACAAATTAACACGATTAATACATACATACAGTGAGAATTAATACATACATTTAGTGAGAATGTTAGCCAGCATAAAACCTTTAATAAAAGAATCTGCTCTGGAACTGCAGGAACACATTCAAACTTCAGTGGATAACATCAACATTTACCATTTAAAAATTGCTTTGATATTTGAAGGGATAAAAACTTGGAAGTAATCGATTATTAATCGATTACATCTTCCAAAGTAATCGATTACAATCGATTACAGGACAAAAATGAGTGTAATCGATTAATAATCGATTACACAAAATTCCTCTAAGTAATCGATTATTAATTGATTACATTTTTCAGTAATCGTGCCCATCCCTGGTCAGCATATATTAGATGATTACATCATTCTCTGGTATGTAGACATAACTAATTTTAATCTTATGAGTTGTTAAACATGTATGTGGATACAATTTCTTCCTTTAAAAGGTATCATAGATAGAAAAGTATCTTCAACAGTCTATCAAATGACCTAGAACTTATCTTATCAAAACTGTTAGTAAACAATTACCGGTGTTAGTGTGAATTTCTTCATTTTGCAAGTCAAGTCAATTACATTGCTTATCTTTCACCATTCCAATTCTTTCAAACATTTCTATTTTGATGGAAAACAGATCTAAAACATATATCTTATATTTCTGAATCTTTAACTGGCCATGTAAAATATTAAGAATAAATTAAATGTACCTGTGAAAGACAAACCCTGGCTCCACAACAGCTACAGCTAGACCCAAGTGTTATCATTCCTCCATCTGCACTGAATGGATCCTTAACAACATATGCTTCCTCCATCAATCTACATATAAAATTATAACATAAATGCTTCCTCCATCAATCTACATATAAAATGCATAACACAAATGCTTGCTCCATCAATCTACATGTAATATGTATACCACAAATGCTTGCTCCATCAATCTACATATAAAATGTATAACATAAATGCTTGCTCCATCAATCTACATGTAATATGTATACCACAAATGCTTCCTCCATCAATCTACATATAAAATGTATAACAGAAATGCTTCCTCCATCAATCTACATATAAAACGTATACCACAAATGCTTGCTCCATCAATCTACATGTAATATGTATACCACAAATGCTTCCTCCATCAATCTACATATAAAACATATACCACAAATGCTTCCTCCATCAATTTACATATAAAACATATACCACAAATGCTTCCTCCATCAATCTAAATATAAAATGAATAACACAAATGCTTGCTCCATCAATCTACATGTAATATGTATACCACAAATGCTTGCTTCATCAATCTACATATAAAATGTATAACATAAATGCTTGCTCCATCAATCTACATGTAATATGTATACCACAAATGCTTTCTCCATCAATCTACATATAATATGTATACCACAAATGCTTTCTCCATCAATCTGCATATATAACATATACCACAAATGCTTGCTCCATCAATCTACATATAAAATGTATACCACAAATGCTTTCTCCTCAGTCTACATATAATATGTATACCACAAATGCTTCCTCCATCAATCTACATATAAAATTTATACCACAAATGCTTCCTCCATCAATCTACATATAATATGTATACCACAAATGCTTTCTCCATCAATCTACATAAAATATGTATACCACAAATGCTTTCTCCATCAATCTGCATATATAACATATATGGAAGGGAATTACCGCCAAAAGTCTATTTATCTTCCTTTTATTCTTATTCTGCCTACTTCTTTATTCTTTGTTATTATTGTAACTATATGTCACTTTATTGTTTTCATATTCGTCTTTATTACATTTCACTTTGAACTTTTTTCATTCTTCAATTTGTCCTTATTTCTATGTTGCTTTAGTCTTGTAAATTCGTTCTTCTTTCTTTTAAATTGATACAGTTTCTTTAATAAATAATTATGATTATCTCTATTACAAATGTAAATTCAGTCACGCAAACCATGAAGCGCATTCATCGAAGACAAATACAAGTAGTGTGAATTTAATGCTGCATTATAACACTAGGTGGCAGGGTGTTCACGGCGAGTGTTGGTAAAATTAGGTACGCAGACCCGGGCCGGAGTTATTCGAGATTTTTCAATTTTCTGCCTTAATACTTTATCAATCGAACCCAAATTTTCAAGTTATGTTAGTTATAGGTTTATTTGTATACGCGGTAAAATTGCCCCGAAATGCTTTTTTTTTTTTTTTTTTTTTTTTTTTTTTTTTTTTTTTTTAATAGATTTTCTCGAAGATATTTGATTTCCAAGTTGGTAAAATGGGAAGGCAGTATCAAACTGACATTTTTCGTGTTTTTTGACAAAAAGCTAACACATTTATAAATTATTCTGATGTTAAACATTATATTTTAACTATTTATAAGCATTTCTTCTTTCAAATGTGCTTTTGTTGCTTTAAATAACACGTTTTAAGAAAATATGGGTCATTAAAACCGGATCAATTATGAAAACTCCAAACTAATTGTGTATTTTCAGTCATCTGAAAACTATAACTCTATTCAACTTTTTTGTCAGATGATTGAATTTCAGTTTTATTGATATAAAAAAAAAACATTAAATATTTTGATAATTACTAGTATGCCCTTATAAATTGAGTTGTTTTTCAGGCCCCTATTGTATATATTCTTCCACTGAACTGACATTTCTTTATTTCAGGATAATAACTGTTCATGCGCAGTCGCGTGATTCTGGGGGCCGGGGCTAATCTTGTTTCGGCCAACCCATAATGCTCTGCAAAGTAGTGCGGAACGTCATGGGTAGGCGTGGCCGAAATCAGGCTAGACCGGCGCATACATGTACTAGAAACTTCCCCCGGTTTTTATGAAAATATGTTTTAATTTTTGGTATAGAAATAGCACTTTTCAATAAAGAAATAAATATCTCTAGTAAGCACACAGTGTTTGACATCAGAATAACTCAAAAAATTATTTTGTCAATGTCTCGTTTGGAAAAAATACGTAAAATGTCGGCTTGATATTGCCGACCCATCTAAGCAAATTGGAAATCAAAAATCGCAAAAAACAAGAGGCCCATGGGCCTTGAAGGTCACCTGAGTATCATGGAACAACTTTCAACTAAGTAAAGCCAAAATATTTTAAGAAAGAAATATACTCTTGTATCTCAGAAATCATGAAATACATGGGTGACTTGCTTAACTTTCATGTAAGAATTCTGTACCATTATCATGTCATCAGTGAATGTATTTCAGATTTTTTCACAGAATATTATTGAAGATATAAATCATGTGACATTTAGTCACATAATCATTATACTCTCACATTCGATGTGCTCTTTGCTATGCAATGTATAATGCATTTGCAGGAAGAAGATGCGGGACCCTAAGTAAAAGTGACTTTGTGTAAGTTAAGAGTACTAAACAACTTTTGTTACAGTTGTAAACCTTTAAGTGCCCCAATAGAAATTTCATAATTTTTTAGAGTGATAAATTGTGCAGTTCATGGTTTTGTTTAGCTCATACATGTGATTTTACACAAGGTATGCATCCTTTTGAAAATAAACTCTGATGTGTGAGCAGTGATATGCTGCAAATTAATCCTCTTCTTTCTTACAGTCCTTTAAACATACTGTAATAAAAATTGAGACATACACAAAAAGCCGTATCAGATTTATTGTGTTTTATATTCTCTCAGGATAATGATTTACATGTAATCAATGGAATTCTTTTTCATAACATCAGGTTTGGAAAGAGTCATGATTAAACATCTTAATATCTAAAATTGTCCAATAACTTAAATAAAAATATGACACAATACTCAACATAAAAAAGCAAATCAAGGGGAGAAAACCAAAGTCGCATACTGCAAAGAGGACCATTCCCTTATAAAAGAGTACATTGATCCAGATAAAATTTACTGCTTGCATTGCTTAACTTCCATTATGCACACACTAATGTATATACACACTCAAAAGCATGTTACTACATGTATATACATGTACATGTAAATATTACAATGGATCAATTATTGACTTTAATATGTTCATAATAATGATTTTAATAAAAAAATTTAAATAATTAAGTCGTAGTTATTGACTATAGTATTGCATTTATTTATAAAGCCTGGTGAACAATTCATTGATATTTAACTTTGTTCAATTTTCAAACAATATGAAAGTGCTTTATTGGTCTACTGTCTGAAATTTTACCACCAATCATACTACGTAGGAAGCAATCTTCACTTTATTTCTATATCATCTGAAAGAAGCAAGGTTTACCTCCCTTTACGGGCTGGCCATTGACCCCCTCTTTCTATGCTACTTACCTTTAAAAAGTGAATGCTTCATATTTGGTGATTTCATACAATTACAACATAAAATAGATATTGTGAAATCATGGTAGCAATGAAACATTTTTTTTAATTAGAGTTAGCAATATTATAGAAAGTTTTGAGTCTGTACCTGAATTGTCCACCTAGCATAAATTGTATACATACATTTTAATATTTGCAGATGTTGTTAAAATTGAACCATAAAGTTATCCTAAACTTTTCACAATATGATCAAAAATGTATTGAACAGATAAATGCAACATGGCAAGAACAAAAATATATTTAGTACATGGTTTAAATCATTTGCTTTAATTGTAGTTTAAAACAATGAAAGGGAAAAAAATTAAAATTAAAAAAAAAAAAGTAAGAAAAGATTTCATAAAGCAGTGAATTTATATTAATTGAATATACTTTTAAATTCATAGTATATGTGAGTACAATTTAATTCAAATATTTGCATAATGAATACTGATTTATAGCTAATTGAAATATTTCAAAGAAATGGAAAATTTTCCTATATTCAGTCATTGTTGTGAACGAACTTCTTCACATAACAAAAGCGAAAAGAAAGATTAAAGTTGTTTACAAGGGCCTGAAATCATTTATCAACACTTTTATTAAATAATACAAATTTTAGATTTAAGAAATAAATCTTAAGGTCATAGGATGCCTGAAATCCAGAGATATGGGGTTTTATCATAGTTTCTTGAATTGTGTTGGTTCTAGATTCCAATTATTCATTAAATGGTAAGTTAGGGTAAACTAAAATTTCTTAGGGGGATATTTTGTTCATATTTTTTTTGCACTGAATTTCAATATACATATATTCAGCTATTAAAAGTATAGATTTGGGGATAATGCAAAAAGAGAAAGGATGGATTGATAGGAAAACTTCATAATAAATATGTGTTTTAAACAAGTCTATACAAACTTTTCATAAATTTGTATATATATATATATATATATTTTTTTTTTAAGTATCCACATCCTACGTCCTTTAAATGTCCTATTTTACAAAATCAAATATAATATTGTATCTATTCCAATATATGCCTTCCGCAGATGAAAATTAAACAAAAATAAGTACAATTAATTAACATAGATCTACCTGCCTCTTTATAATCAAATATACATTGGAAAAGGGATATAAATGTACATTTAAAAAGGTTTAATAGAACTTCAAAATGATAAATTTGGTAATGATTTGGTGATAAAATTTTCTATATACACATAATTTAATTAGTTACAAGAGCTGGTCTAGGACTTAAACTCTTGATCAACAGTACACTGTACGCCTAAAGTAGATAGTTTCATCCACAAGATTTGAGCATAGATGCTTGATGGTAGTACTTATATATACAAATGTCATAGTTAGAAAATTCTAAATTGTCTTAGTGTACGTAACTCAACAACATATCAGTATCACCAAAAACATAATGAAAAATAAATAAATAAGAAATGAATTCTAAATCTATATGATTAATATATGTACAACAGA